ATTAAAAGAATAAATCAATTAAACCATTAATAAAATATTTTATAGAAATTGATTATCTAATCATTGATATAGGTGATGAGGTAGAAAATTTGTAAGTTTTGAGGTAATGAATTAATGGGTGTTTGATTAAAGTAATGAGGTAGTATTGAGAGTCTTCAAGGAAAGGGTTGTTTGTTTTACTAGCAGCTGTGATGGACTGGGTGAGAGGAGTTTATTGCTCTGATTGCTGCTACTATTACTCTGTAAACAAAAGGCTGTAACAGGATGTTCAAAGCACGCTGGGTTTTTGAAAGAGAGCAAAACTCGCTGAATTAAAACACTTTAACTACAATCAATATGTCTCTGAATAAGATTGTTTTGCAATAGTTTCCTGAAGTTCTTCAAGTTGAGTAGTACTAAAAATACAGTCCAGAAATTTGGGTTAACTAATCCAATCTGTCCTTTATTTTTAAAGTTACTTCTAGTTGCAATACTTTTTTTTTAAAACTAAATCTGACAGTCACTCCAGATCGTTAATCACAGTTATTTTCCTCCTTTGAGTCCCACTTTCCAAGGAAAATTCCACTGCAGAAATTGGAGTGATTCTTACCAAGACTAAGCACGCTGTTACAAGATCTTTCCTTTCTTTTTCACTTCTGTCTCAGTTGCCTTACTGGTTTTGATTTAGCTATGCTGGCAATTTTCTTTTTAGTTCAGATGGAGGGATTTTCTTCGGGTCAGTCAAGGAGTCTGTCCTCTCCTCTCGACAACTGAAGCATTCCTCAGCCGTCCAGGGTGACTTTTGGCTCCTAAGAGCCTCAGGGCTTTCTCCTCCCTCCTTGTTTCTCCCTGCCAGCTGTCCGATGTGGCTCTGGGGAAACTGTGTGGGGGATATTAAGGGGAATGCATTGTCTGGCGTGGAAGATACTTCTATCGGCTGTTTGAGGGATTTAAATGAAGGTACGTTGTTTGCACTCTGCAGGCTCCAAGTGATCCAGTTCAAGAGCTCCACCAGTGTGGTTAATAGGACTCGATGGAAAGAGCTTCACATCGCTGGGGAAGGAGACGAGGGCTCCGGATCAATTAGCAGGAGCTCTGCTAGCATTATTAGGGCTCTACAGCTTCAGAATCCAGAGTTTTTGGGCTTGTCTTTTGGGATCAGGTTTACTCATGGTTACTGGTGCAAGCAGCAGCTTTAAAAGTGATTTCTGGTGTAGGTGGTGGCTTTATAGGGAGATAGTGCTCCAGGAGCAAGAGCTTCACCTTCCTAGTTGGGCGCCGCCATCTTGGATTAGTCCAATTATTGGGAAACGCATTGATTGGATGGAGATCTATTAGACAGAAACATCTAAGTTTGTCAACAATGGAGGCTGAATTCTCATGTTTGTCTTTACTATGTACAGATTTAGTTTTGTATAAGCAATTGTTAATTGATATGGGAATTGATGTAAAAGATCCTGTTGTTGTTTATGAAGATAACCAATCAGCAATACAGATGGCTTCAAATATTGCTGTTAAAAGAAGAACGAAACACACAGATTTAAGATTTTTAAATGTGAGACAATGTGTGCAAAGTAAAATGATTAAGCTAGAATACTGTATGTCAGAAAACAATACAGCAGATCATTTTACGAAGGCCCAAGGCTCTATAAAGCATAAAGCTTGCTGTGAAGATTATGGACTTAGAATGTAAGGTTGTATATATTATCTTACCCAAAAGGGGAGAATGTTAGGAATATGAGTCACCTAACAGCTATTTGGGTTAAAAATATATAAACCAGGATAAACATTTTAAAACTGTATCTTTAAGAGCATGCTAAAAACTGCAATTGGGTGTGGTTTCTCAAATGGCCATAAGATGGAGCCAGAAACCTGATTTATCTTAGGCCTTAATCTCAGAAGACAGTGTGAGTGTATCTGTTTCCTTCTGTTGGAAAGTATTGCCGTTGCTTCATTTCTTCTAATTGACTGATATTACTGGATTTAATGTAAGTCTGATACTGAACTGTTTTTGACACTGGAATTTGATATTTGGATTATCCCTGGATGAAAACTGACTCATTTTACCTGTGAATGACTTTGGACTGCCTATTTTGGACTTTGCTTAACGTTTCTGGAAGTAAAAACCTACATTTACTGTACAGTGTATCTGTGTGCTGTATGTGTATTATTCAAACACTCCTCTCAAATACATCTTCCTGTATGCACTCATTCTCCTAACGGGGAATTACCTCAACAGTCAGTCTTGACAAATAGCACTGAAGAAGCAGGTGGCTGGGTTATATGATGGATTGTCTCTCTCCAATTGCATTTGTGTAGGCCATCAGGTCAGGAGAAGGTATATTGTGGGACCCATTTTCCAGGAAATTACCTTTGACAAGTCCCAGGAGGCAGGTCTTTTTTGTCATGACATCTACCTTGTGGAATCCTTTGATCCACCCCAACAGTCCACATGTTTATCAATACATGATATTATATTGGTATTGGTCCCCAAGGATCTGAAAGACTTGTGTTAGCTTCCTTATTGTAATGAACACCATCCTCTCGTTTGGTGTGTGTCTTTCTTATAGAAAAATTTTAAATTATTATACATATATAAATTATATATTTACTATTTTTAATTAGGTTTGTACACTGTCCAGAGTTACTTTTATGTGCGGTGGCTCTACATCGGCCAACAGACAAGTAGATTTTCAGTTTTAACATCCTACAACACATTTTTAAACTATGGTAGATGCTGCTGTCAGCAATGTATACACTGATATACACACACACACACACAAACACACACACACACAAACACACACATACACACACACACACACACACACACACACACACACACACCAGAGGTGGTATTCAATCGGTTGGGACCAGTTCCGGTGTACCAGTAGCAGAAATTTTGACTAGTTTGGAGAATTGGCAAATACCATCTCCGGTTGGCCCTGCCCACCTGCCCTCGCCTTTACCTCTCCTACATTCCCTTGTGTTTTTAGCTCCACTGATTTGCGCTTGCAGAGCAGGTTACTGTGCCTCAGCTGAGCTAAAAATAAAACAGCTCAGCTTATCAGTGCTGACACCGAGGGTGGTCTTTGAGCCCTCTGTGCTCATGCAAACTATGCATTAGGTGCTCATGTGTGCAAAGCTCAGCTTACCAGCATCAGCAGAGATCTGTCTTTGAGGCCGCCCCTCCCACACACACATGCAAAATGTGCATGCATAGAACCGCACATAGAACTGGTAAGAAACAATTTGGATACCCACCCCTGACACACATACACAGGATGATCAATGACTGAAATGTCCAATTGTGATCCAAGGGGGAACACCTGAAATACTGGTTGTGGAGAACAATAGAAGGAGACAGTCGCTCTTGTGAGGCCCGATTGTGAGCTAACCAAATACATCTGGTTGCACACTGTGTGACCTAGCAGGCCTTCACTTAATGCAGAATCAGAACTCATTTCATCTTCTGAAGTGGACTGTACCAGAATAAATAGAAATATTTAAGAGATGTGCACTTATCCTAAATCTACCAATATTGTCTATGTCATGATATCTCACTGTTAGGAGGAGGGAAAGTCAAGTTTTGGAATTGTAAATATATTGAAATATTGTTTTCCCCTAAACACAGGATAGCCCAACTTTTGTTACAAAAAGTCGCTGAGTTAAACCAATAATGTCAAAAAACTATTTGGTTTATGGATAAGATAAGCTTAATATTTAATAATAATAAGGATGATGCAATATGAAATTAAACAAAATGAACAGGTAACTATGGTCATGTTTGTATTGAGATGTGAAACCTGGAAGCACACTGCTTGTCAAATGAGAATTTTTTATTTAAAAAATAAAATAAAAGCAGGGAGAAAATTCAATAATGGAATTACTAGGTATGTTTAACTGATATGGTGATAAGCATTTGGAGAGAGTTTTGAAAGGTTGAAAATAAGCATTGAAAGATTATGAATTAATGTCAATATATGCGTTGAGAGATATGATTGGTATTATTAATTTTGCCTATACTAAAATGTATGATATATTGACGCTGTATTGTTAATGTATTGTTGTGTATGTGTTGATTGAAATAAAAAAATTTGGGCAAAACAAAAAAAACTAATTGGTTTAGAAATAGAATCTCCGCCTTCTATGTTTACCATAGTGCTTTAGTGCAGGACTGCTTCTCACACCACGCTACACATGAGACTCACAATAATATTTCAGAGACACAATGTGAGACATTTACTAAGTGAGCTTTGCTTCATTTTATGACCTTTCTCTCCACAGTAAGAAAGTTGTTAAGTGAATCTGGCTTCCCCTTTGACTTTGCTTGTCAGAAGATTGCAAAAGGGGATCATCTGACTCTGTGACACTGTGACGGTCATATATATGAACCAGTTGCTAAACATCTGATTTTTGATTATGTGACTATGGAGATGCTGCAATGGTCGTCAGTGTGAAAATGGTCATAAGTCACTTTTTCCTATGCCGCTGTAATTTCAAACAGGCACTAAACAAACTGTTATAAGTCAAGGACTATCTGTCACTTGAGTTTTTTTTTTTTAAGAAAAATCATCTTCTTTTAATGACTCCATAATCCCATGGAGGATTGAGTCTGGGCAACTGAATGGAGCTGGGTGTTTACTGGCCTGCTGCCCTTCCTGTCACCAGTGCAGAGGGTTTTTTTTTCAGCAAATATATTCTAATTGTGCATTTTTTAGAAAGAAAAATATCTAGATAATATTTAATGTTGAAATCATAGAAAGTATGAAGACACTATAGAAAGAAAGAATAAATCTTTAAATGGCAGAATGTGGTGCTTATTAAATGAATGGAAAGTCATAATTTTAACCTTATTTGAGTATTTTAATGACATTTGCATTACATTGAATTTAATGTAGAAGGGTTGTTTTTCCTTCCCAGACTCATTTCTAGGAATGCTCTGGAACATGGCTTCCATATTTAGACTGGGGAATAAGAGTGGGATGCCACTGTTTTAAATTCTAGTTTTCCCTACTAACCTGACCACAATTATGAAGAATTTCCCTGCCTTCTGAACCATGGTTTGAGTCCGATCAAAGAGCTTTTGAAGAATTGTCTTCACCAGATCGTTCCTCAGGGTGTACACAAAATGTCTCAGGAATGGGTTAATTATGCTGCTGAGGAATGCCGGAATTTTCCGAACCCACGAAGTTGATGGCTTAAATGGGACAATGTACAGTACAATGTACAGTAACATGGAGACACTTGAAGCCATCAAGAACAAAGTGAAATGTGACGCACATGTGTTGAAGGCCTTCTTTCTCCCACAGTCAGTGGGTATAACCAAAATAATAGAAACAATGTAAATATAAGAGACCAGTGTCAGGTTCAAAAAACAAAGAATGGCAATGGATGATAACAGAAAGAGGATAATTTGTATTGAGCTAGTATCTGTACAAGATAACTTCAGTAGAGGTTCAGTGTCACAGAAGAAATGATCAATGACATTGGAGTGGAAATAGGAGAACCTGGTGACCATGGTGGTTGGATAGAGGACAAAGGCAAAGCCAACCAACCAACAAGCCACCACCATTTGAATGCAAAAACAATCATTCATGATCACCAGATAATGTAATGGGTTGCAGATGGCCACATAGCGGTCATAGGACATACATGTCAAGAGGAAGTATTCCGCTTTGCCCAGGAAGAAATAGAAATAGGATTGGGCCATGCAGCTAGCAAAGGAGATGGTTCTGACTCCAGAGATTAAATTCTTCAACAAACTGGGAGCAGTTACAGTTGAAAAAAAAAGGTCTAGGATAGAGAGGTTGCTGAGGAAGAAATACATTGGTGTAGGGAGACAACTGTTGGTAATGATAATGAACAGAATAGTCGAGTTACCAAATATTGTTGATGTATACATTACCATCAGTATAATTGCCAAAAATTTCTCTGCTTTTCGCCCAATCAGAAAGCCCAAGAGGATGAATTCTTCATAGCTGGTGTGATTTCCCATTTCTAATCTCACAAAGAAAAAAAGAAGGGTTGACTTCCCAAAATGTTTTACTTCCCCAAAAATAGGCATGTTGAAACAATGTCATAACTATACCTCTCCTTGTTGTTTGACATTCAAATACTTCTTACTTTCTTGCCCCATTCTCATACTTTCTTGCCCCATCCCTCTTGTTAAGCACCACCTATGGTGCCACGATGGTTTTAGAAAAAAGCTGAGCTCTCCCAAACTTCAAAGCTTTGTCTCCCAAAGCTAGGCTAAATTGGGATTGAACAATTCACCACTTGTAATCAAAATAAGTTGTGGGAGTTCAGAAGATGGTGGTATAACTCAATTTCTCAAGCATCAGCAGCTTCATTCTCTGAAGAAATTAATTTGTTCAGCCAGACCTGAGTGTCCCATGGAAACCCAACCACAGAAATTGCACATCTATAAAAATTGCACAGTTGTTCTTGCAGGTAGATGTGTATTTTAACAATGCTACAGTATTTTTTAGGTTTAAAAAAAACATTATTTATGATTTTATCTCCTTCAAATGATAAAATAAAATCCTGTGCCCAAGCAACAAACAGCCTTCTAGGCAAACCTCCTTCACATAGATTTGCTGTTTAGCTCTTTCCCTCCACTTCCATCTTGATCATTGTGGTCAACTAAAGCTTTACTTAACATGGTTACATTTAGGTTCATTGACAAAGGGGTTTAAGTTAAAATCTATGTCTTTCAGTTGGAACTAAGTGTGATGAATGTAAACTAGACCCCACGTTTTCAATTCCCAAGAAATAAAATTGAAATATACAAGTTTTAGCATTGAAAAGACCAACTTACTTACTTCCTTCCTCCTTCCCTCTCTCCCTTTCTTCCCTACTTTCTTCTTTCTTACAGCTATATATCCCAAACATTTCTGCATAGATTTGCGGCATTTCCTATAGTCATAAAACCATTCTATTCAAGCCTTCCTCCCTCCCTCCCTTCTTTCTTTCCCACACATTATAACCATGTCATTTGACTGCAGGTATGACTTATGCTGCATGTCCTTCAGTGAGTGATATTAAAATCAGTAGATAATCTTCCAAAGACTTGGAAAATTCAAATGAACCCCGTATACTAAGCAATATGGACCAGTATTAGTTATAGTACAAGTAACAATGCAACAATGCAACTGTGTTCATATGAACACAGTTGCTGTGATGGGAGGGTGTGATTAAAGAAATAGCTATCACCTTCCTTAACCAAAGAATATTCATAGACATATGGCGTCCCTCACCCAAATGCTCAAAAAGATATTGTAGATGTGTGAAAGAAGAGGAAGGAATGTTGATATCCCTGCACACATTCTGGAGGCATAATAGATGAAATGCCATCTCACACAAGCACCTTTCTCCATTCATTCCATATTTGAGGGCAAAGAAAGCTTCGGCATAATCCTTTGAGGAATACCAACTTTTACCAGCTTACGACTTCGATTTTAGATCTTCATGGTGGGCTGTGTACTGTAGAATCTGCTCAGAAGAAGAAGCTGATGCTATCACACAACCATGTACAATTCAAGGAATTTTTGTCCATGGCATTGAGCCAGAACTTTTTTTTTCTTCATCACGATGAAGTATATTTTTATTCATAGGTCACCTCATTGAGTTAAAAAAGATTTCATTCCCCAGGATATGGGAAGTATAAACAATTAGTTTCACGTTACCTTCTCAAAACATCAGGCAATGAACATACAGCCCAAATAGTCAAAATGATGTCATCAAAAGCCAGTTCTCTGTCATACGTTATGGCACTAGACATGTTTGGTAGCATGCGTACATACATTATAGTTTCTACTTGTAATTTGCCTGGCTCATCAGATTTTTGTAACTATTAAAATAGAGATGATAGATGGACAGATAGACAGATAGACAGACAGATAGATGGATATGATTCTTATCTAAAATATGAAAGATCTTTAACAACTTTAAGCCAGCATTTTAAAACATTGCCTATATTAACTGTACAAGAAAGAAACCTTTCAGTTTCTCTCTGTCCAATTATTACAGTTCTATTCTGCACTTTTTAAAAATTCTTTTTTCAAAATCCACTGGGTCTACTTCCATGGGAGAATATAACCCATCACTCTAGGGGTCTAATTAGAAACAATAGTACCTAGAAACCAAGATGTTACTGTACTATGCTTTGCTAAAATGAAACTGTTGTACTCACTCCTTTCTCAAAGACCATTTATTTAAAAAAAAATCTACTGAGTCTTAAAAGTTTTAATAAGATGCATGTTTTCCATGAAAAGTTTCCAAATTTAGCCCCAACCTCTCCAATAGTATTAATACTTCATCTTTCACTTTTATACACCCCTTTAAATCAGTTTGGCCACAATCATATTCATTGTTTCCAGTTCAATATGAGTGAAACCCACAATCGTATTCATTGCTTCCAGTCTCCTTGTAATAGTATTACAAGGAGAAGCTTCTAAACTTCCACACCACTGTTCCTCCTTTGGGCTGAGAACAATGGCTCTCTTGCAAACTTAATGGAGCCCCAGTGATGCAAACAAATGGGTACCATAGATGTGGGCCTTAGGATTTGTTGTTTTGTTTATTTGTTTACTGGAACAGTGATCAACATGGCAATAGTAAATACTGTACCTAGGAATAGAATGCCTGTGGGATTCTCAGTTAATGAAATGAGATGGTGAGCTGAGATACCATCTATTGCATTGATTGTATATGCATTTATATTATTAATGCAATGGGGGTTTGTCACTTCACTCAGTCAAGCATACTGTATTATGTTGTCCTATAACCCCAAAGCCATTGTGGAGGTCCACCAGCGGCCTGCGGAGCTGGCAGCAGAGTCAAACAGTGGGGAGGAACATAGGCCAATCCTGGAGTCTGGAGAGGACTTGGATGAGAGATCTGCATCCAACTCAGAGAACGGGCCAGGGCCATCTGAAAGTTAAGTGCTGACTCTGGAGCCTCCAGAATCTGATTTCAGTGAGGCAGCGGAATAGGGGGAGCCTGTTCCTAGTGTGCGCATGCACAGAACTGCCAGAAGGCAAGAACAGTTAAGACAAAAGGGGCGAGTAAGGCTTGAAGGTGATTGCCCCCTTGGGAGTAAGGTTTGAAGATTATTACCCACTCCCATAAGATATAAAGGAGGAGCAAAGGGACATGAGCCTTTGCAGGAAGCAACTTTGTTTGTTCTGATCAGTTTAAACTCTGAACCTTTGTGTTGGCTTTGCGCTCCATTTGGCCTTGTACAGTTGGCATTTTAGTCATTGGCAGAATTTCAAGGAACATAAAGATGGGTGCTTATCAGCCTTATCCTGAAAAGACTATGGTAGACTTCTGTTGGATTATTCACAAACTGTTTGAGACCCATTACAGGCTGTGAATGAATATAATTCACAGCCATTGAAATAAAAAGAGGGCTTTTGGTTCTAAGCACATGATTGTTTCTGTCTCAGGAAGCCTTGGTGAGAACAGCCATCCTGAACAGTCAAGTTGTAATAAACTGTCAGAAGATTGTGGTGGAAGAGCTTCTGGGGACAAACTGTTCCAACAAAAGGGAGTTTTCACAGAGAATAATTATTGTGGCCACCTCCCAACAGATGATTGAATTACCACCTGTAAATGCCACAACATAGATTAGACATTATCTCTGTGGTTTCAGTTAATTCTTCTTTCTCTATTCTAGTTTGCACACATGATTCTGAAAAAAATCTGTTTTTAATATAAATTTTCAAGTTCAAATCTTCATTGTCAATGTATAACATGTGTGCAATGAAACTGAATGAATTTGAGGATTACAGTCCAACATTATGCCTCTTGGTTATTATTAAAGATCTAGGATTGCTATGATCAAGTATTGCTATGTGTTTGCTTGTTAGATTTATTTGCCACTCCTCCTCCTCCTCCTGCTCCTCCTCCTCCTGCTCTATTCATCATCAGATGTTGGCGATTATGTTGGCAATCCTACTTTTATCAACAGCCATACAAAAAAGTGCTGCTGAGTTTTGTCCAAACCAGTCCCTTAGATTTTGAAGCCATGATGTTCTTTTGCCTAGACCTCGTTTGTCTTCAATCTTTCCTTGGAGGACTAAGTGAAATAGGCCATATTTTTCTGGGTGCCACATCACATATTCTAATTTTCACTTTTTTAGGTTTTGGTGATTTCCCTTGGCTTTCCCAGGTGGCTTATCACCTTCTTATTTCTGATTATGTCAACCCAGCTTATATATAACAACCGCCTGTAATTCTACATTCCAAATGCTTCTAGACCCTTTAAGTGGCTTTCTGTCAAAGACCAACTCTCCACTCCATAGAGCAGGATAGAAAAGATGCAACATCTGACAAACCTGATTTTCAATCTTAGGCTTATGTCATGACTGCAGAAGTCCTTCCCTACAACAAAATATCTTAAGATGAACTTTTTCTAGATCTCCATCTCCTCTCTATGATCTACTGAAATATTAAATATTCAAATTATCTGGTATATTTTATTTTAATACAACTTTTATTTTCCTAAGCTTGGCTTGCTGAAGAGGATTCACTGCTATTCTTGACATTATTGCTATCCTTAATACAATATTAAAATATAAACCACTTAAGGATGGTAACTGGAACCAAAATTTCCATTGCTAAGCAAGGGGACTGATAAGTGCAATGTCACACGATTGTACTACTTAATGACAGAATTCTGCGAGGCCTTGGTTGGCCTCATTAAGGGATGACTTCATACCACCACAAGTTGCAATTTGTGGGAAATTGAAAGGGGTTACAAAATTATGATCACAATGTTATAAGTAGGAGCAGAAATGAAATGAAATAACAGACTTGATATGCTGAAACATGTAACTGGCTTTTATTTAAGATACTGTAGTACCGATCAACTTTTAACACATACTGATCATAGTATGAGGAAAAGGATATGCCTTTTTCCAAAAAGACCACATATTTATATCCAAATATAGTTTTATAAAGAGTTCCATAACACATCTTGTTTTCCAAATC